TCTTCAAAATTATGATTCGTTTTTCATGGTTTGATAATATGTGATGGCTACTAGCCTGCACACACACACACACACACACACACACACACACACACACACACACACACACACACACACACACACACACACACACACACACACACACACACACACACACATTTGGGTGACATAACGCCAGCTCTCAAGTAGTAGCAAAATTATTCAAGGGAAAATTGCAAAAAAAAAACAAAATTCTCAAATAGCTCATGTGTGTCAAATACTGTATATCACTGGACCATTTTTTTTGTCATTGAATGTATTGATTTAACATTTTATATATACACACCTATATTGTGAATGTGGAACCCATCAAAATATCCAAAAATTCAACCAACCATTCAATGTGAAAAAAAAGTGAGAAATAAAATAGTCAATTTCCTATTCATGGGGATTGATGATCATGTCTAAAATCAAAACCACCAACACCACCACCACAACAACAACGAGTACATAAACCGATCAGCCAACAACGACAAAAAAACCGATAAAAAAAATCTCAATGAAATGTGAAAGGATACTATAGTACGTAGTAGTAAATAGTAGTTTGGAAGGAAGAAAATGAAAAGTATTTCTGGTCGAAATAACCACATGATGATGATGATGACGAGAATCCAAAAAGCTAAAAATGAGAAAAGGAAAAAAACCAGAAAAAAATTCTATGCATGGCTTGACATTGGAATTGGTGATTTTTTTCTTTCATTCATAGTTATAATGAAAATGGACATATATCATCCAAACAACAACAGTGAAAAACCCATAACTATAGTCAGTTGTTACCAGAAAAAAATGAACAAGAAAACACCACCACCACCCCCAAATAATAGTTTTAGGGAGCCAGCCAGCAAAAAAAAAGCCGAACAACAACATCTTCATCATCAATGCAACAAGTGGTCACTGGATTGAAACTTAATTACGAAAAAAATGGGCAGCATCAGCAACAGCAGCAATAATATGAAACGAAACGAAACGAATAATTTTTTTTTTTTCGTTATTTCGTTTTGGTTATCACATTGGTAGTTGCTGTTGTATTTAAATATACCTGTGGAATGTAAAAAAAAAGAAATGAAATGAAATTGAAACGATAAAATGGATGTGTGTGTGTATGTTAACCAGCGAAACAACAAATATAAAAAGAAAAAAAAATACTCAATATACAGACATCGCCCAATAACGAAAAAAATGCCATAATCTTTGTTGTTGGGCGAGCACACACTTTGTGTTGTTTGACTATCGTCATTTCAATATTCAAGAAAAAAAAAAGAAAATTTCTGCCAAAAACTGAAATTGCATTTTCAAAATGGGCAACGTAAGAAAAAAAAATTTTTTTTTTGGAAAAACACACACACACACTGAATGTGGATACCTGGAGTTTGTGAGTTTGCAACAATAAAGAAATCGAATCATATTCGAAACGGTAGAAGTCTGTCAGCGTGCGTTGTGTGTAATGTTGAATTAAGTGATTTGGAATGCGAAAAAAATGGATTTTTTTCTTACGCTGTTCATAATAACTTATGTGCCGTTTTTGTTATGTTGTTGAGAACAAACTTTTCATTTAGCATCCTCCTTATTTTTTTTTATTATTTTGCATGACTTGTCCAAAAAAACGATGAGAGATGGAGTTGTAGCGTGCAAAGTTGTTATATTATTCATCATCGTCATCATCATCGCCAAATGATTATCGATGATCATTTTGATTAAGATCATGATGATGAAAAAAAATGCGTGTAATACACCCAAAAATATCGTAATCATCAAGAAAGATTTTTTTCCACTCAGTTTTTTTTCTGATCATTAGATAATAAATCGATATGGATCAAAATGTAAAAAAAAATTGGATCAATCCATAGTCAGGCTAGCCAAATATTATTATTATTTTTCTTGCTTTTTTCTTCTATTTTATTTTTACTATAGAAAAGTTTTTCAACATCTGAATTATTATTATTTTGGATCAATGTTGTTTTCATATATACTGGCCACCACCACCACGAACAACCACCACCATCACCGACATTATTATTATTTGTACACCAAGTATATGATTATCACATCATCACTGAAAACATCATCATGAAATTTTATATATAATTATAATTGGATAGGATAGGATTTTAGATTCAAGATTTAGTTATTATTATTATTATAATAATGATAACCATTGGTCAATGATATACAATAATCATCAAAATGGATTATATATTACTATTATTATAAACGATAATTGTCATCGTGTGTGTCTATACGACGAATAGTCGTGGTCTCACTTTTTTTTCAAGTATTTTTTTTTTGTTCAAATTTTTTCTTTCAGTAGTGTAGATTATTGAGAAGAAATGCACGATAAATCGAATGATGAATTGAAAGAAATGAAGGGCAGGACAGAAAAAAAAATCTTTTCAACGCAAAAAAAACAAACAAACATGGGAATTATGATGAAATAAATACCGAACAAGCACGTACAAATTCCAACAAAAACACGTGCTGCTGCATTTCACTTTTTTTTCTTTATATTGAACACGTGTGTATTGAAAAATTCAGAATTTTTATTCCATTTCCAAAATAGTTTTTATTTCATAAATTTAAAAATTCAAAAATTTCATTTAAAACAAACAAACACTGGCCTACATAATATATAGGTCTGGTTGTTGTTGTTGATGTTGTTCTGAAAATAAAAATTCAGGATTGATCAATCAAAAAAAACTGAAGCACTGAAACTGAAACAAAAACAAACAAACAAAAAAAAGTGGATAACGCCTAGATTATTAACGATAATGGAAAACAGAAACAGCAACAAGTGAAAAAAAAATTCAGATTCAGATCATAAAACAAAACAACAACAAAAATTTATCATTATCATCATCATCATACATCATACATCATCATATTTCATTAGTACATTCCATATTTAACATACACACACACAGAAACACAGACACCACCACCACCTTGCTTTTATATCCCATTAATTTCATGATTTGATATTAAACAAAAAAAAATTCTTTCTTTCTTATTTTTATTTCATTTTCTATCGGTCCAAAAAAAAACACACTGTTTGACCTATACACATAGATAAATAAATAATATTCACTCTCTTTCTGGTCATCATCATCATCAACATTATTATTGACGCCATTTTGCCGACGCAAAAAAAACAATATTATAATAATAAGCAAAACAAATTCACACATTCGTTGAACGAGAAAAAAAAAAATATGAATTGATATTAAAAACAACAGCGAAAACAAAACACTAAACACCAACACCTTTACATACATACACACACACACACACACATAGAGAGAGAAAGATGAATAATAATCATCATCATCATCATAATAATAATATTCATAATCATAATGTAAATAAGGTGAAAAAAAATAAATGAAAAAAAACACATACACATCATATGAATATGGAAAATATTATTTTGAATTCAAACGAAAAAAAATAGTGTATCCACTATGCATTACACAAATAAATAGATTCAAATCAGTCATCATCATCATCAGGTCTTGTTTATTCATTATTCAAAAACGTTTTGGGCCATATGTGTGTGTGTGTTCCAAAACAATGAATAAAATGGCCAAAAAAAGAAAGAAAGAAAAAAAGACATTTTCATGACAAGCAGAAAAAAATGACTAAAAATCTCGTCACATCTTGAAACAAGTGATCCAACAGCAGCAACAAGAACAGCAATGAATAGTCAGATATTTGAGTAAATATTTAGTTTAGAATATTGAAAACAAAATGATAAATAAAAAAAAACACACCGACGCCCTTCTGTGTTCCAACCAAGCAAGAAAAAATTTTTGAGATTTTGTAGTGTTCAAGAAATCTGAAAAATCTGATACAAAAATTGAAAAATGAATTCATTCATTCATCATTTATTATTTTTTCTGTTTGTCAGCACAATATGAAAGTTCAGCTGGTGTTTCCTTATATTTATTCATCATCCAAGATCATCTTGGAACCAAAAATAACAACAACGACGTAGACGAAAAAAAAATTGACCATTATACATTTGTTGTTGTTGTTGTTCTATACGTAAAAAAAAGATCACGATCAATTTTGATGGTCAAATCATCATCATCATCATCATCATGAAAATCGAAATCAAAGAGAAAACACATGTCGTAGATACATGCACTGATCAACGATGATGATGATGATCAAAAGAAGATGTAGAAAGAGAAAAAAACAAAACAAAAAAAAAACTGAATGGCCTTGTTAGCCGGAACTTTTGGATGATGATCACGCAAGCTCCATATACATATATTGTGAGTAGATATTCAACAACAACAACAACAATAAATAGGCGCCTTCCATATATTGAAATATCCTGTTTTTCTGAGTGTGTATTTTAAAGTTTAACAATAAAAAAAAACATACAGAAACAGAAAATATCTGGATTCCACAACCTTGTAATATGGTCTGAACAATATTTTCTGATTTTTTTTTCTTCTTCATTGAAACTTCATTTCACCTGTTTCATCAAAAAAAAAATGAAATGAAATTATGTGATGCACACAAAGCAAAAAAATGACCATATTGATGAAAAAGAATATTCATTCATACATTTTTTTTGATGAAGAATTTTTCGTTCGTTTGTTTGAAAAGAAAATAGAGATTTTTCTTTCATGATAACTTTAGTAATGAAAAAAAAAATGAAAAGTTTCAATGGTAATGGTTCCATGAATGGTAAAAAAAATATAGTCTCAAATGAAATATAACTCAAACATTTACAAAGACACACACACACACATACACCTGTTGATCATTATCAATGGCGTCGTTCTTATACTATGTCTGTTGTTGTTAAATCGTTGTATTTGTGTTTCAAACGCCGAAAATCGAAATAATTTTAGGGAAAAATGCGTGAAAATCAATTAAATAGATCAAACAAGTGTGGTGGTCACCATACAATCGAATAAATTCAAACATAAAATCATTGGAAATGAAAAACTTACCAAGCATTTTACTTAGATCAGCATTATGTAGATCCGGATTTTCATCGGCCAAACGTTTACGTTCAGCTTTTGCCCATACCATAAAGGCATTCATTGGACGACGAATTCTTTGCTGTTGTTGTTGCTGCTGTAACGTTGTTGCTTGATGATGATGCTGTTGTTGTTGTTGATAATGATGATGCTGATGATGAGAAATATGAGGATGTGAATGTAAATGATGAGAAAGTTGCGGATGATGTTGATGAGGATGAGCATGTGATAGATGTTCATGATCAATATTACTATCGATTGTAATATTCGATTGTTGTTGATCAATTATCGTTGCTGATGCTGCTGTTGCCATCATTGATATTGGTGATGGTGATAATGGTGGTTGTGTTGTTGCTGTTGCTGTTGAATGATGCATGGTCATCAATGATGATGATGATGATTGATGATTACCGACAATATTACCACCACTATTGTCATTGGTGATGAGAATATTATTTGAATTATTGCTGTTCGATGATCCATGCAACGGATGTGAATGTTGTTGATGGTGATGATGATGATGATGAGAATGGCCAATATTACCACCGGAACTATTCACAGGTGATGTTGTTGTTGTTGCACTATTACTACTACTGCTAGTAGTTGTTGTAGTAGTTGCAGTGGATAATAAATGTGACAATGGCAAAGGTGGTGATGATGATGATAAAGCGGAAACGGATGAAGACGATGATGATGAAGAAGATGATGATAATTGTTGTTGACTCGAATAATTTGTTGTTGTTGTTGTAGGGGCTGTCATAACATTTATCATCATCATATCTTTATCGTTTGATGATGATAATGATGAATGATGATGATGATGATGATACGTTGTTGAATTATTATTATTATTATAATTAACGGATGTCATTACAGGTGATTGTGATGTTTGTTGTTGTGGCCAAATTGTAGGTGTAATTGATGATGATTGTGATTGAGATGATGATGAATTCGGATCATTTGGATCATCATTATTATAACCGGCCATCATCATCGTCATTGGCATTATTGATGAATGATGATATGACGATGATGAATCAATTGTTGTAGGCGTTGTCAATGTTTTGGATAACGATGATGAAAATGATGTTTTACCATTCATCATTAATGAAATGGTTTTGGAACAACCATTATCTTGTTCGCCATCATAATCATCGATTAATTTTAGTTCTTCTTCTTCTTCACCACTATCGCTAGGTGTTAATTTTATAAATTCTAATTGTTGTTGTCGTTGATATTGATGATGATGATGATGATGGGGATCACTAGTTACATTAGTAGTAATAGTAGTATTATTATTAGTAGGTGTTGTTGATTGTATCATCATCAACATCATCGCGTTATCTTTATCAATTGAAATGGCGAAAAAAACCCGTCGTCATTAATTCGATGATAATTGGTGATTTGATTTTTCCATTTTTCTTTTTAATGCCGATTAATCAAATTAAATTACTTCTCAACAATAATAATTGATGATGATGATGATGATAATCTGTTGCCAATTAAATGAAAATTAAGTTGATTGAAATTGAATTTTCGGTGTCAAAAAAAAAAAAAAAAATCAAATAACATAAATTACACACACAGAGAAAGAACACAGGATTGAGAAGAAAATAACAAAATAAAGACCAAAAAAAAAAAAAACGAAAACAAAAACAAGGAATAACAGGAATACAAATTTTACAATAAACTAGAAAAAAAACACAACAAATTAAAAACAAATAACAACAACAGCAACAAAAATGAAAAAAAAATGTCACACAAATCACAAATTGTTCAAAGACACCTGTTGTGATGGTGGGAAATATAGATGATCAATCAATCAATATTGCCAAAAAAAATGGACAATAAAAAAGTATTTGACGTTGACGTTTATGTCCACAGGAAAACAAATAAAAAACACACCCACAACATGAAATTTATAAATTTATTGAGAAGTTTTTATTCACTGTTGTCGTTTCTAATGATTCAAGACATTTACATTATTTTTTTTAGGTGCACAACAACCAACCAACTGGCCATCGTCATTTCAATTTGGTCACAAATTATGCACATAAAAAATTATATATGTATGCAACAACGTGCACGTGCATGTTTGTCGATACGAAAACGTTGTGTATACAGAAAAAAAAACAACAAAACCCACTGAATATTAATAATTTCAATTCACAGAGAAATTTTCTTCGTTTCGATTGCTGGTCGTGATGTTTGTTGTTATGAAGCGAGAATTTGTCCATAATATAACACCGCGCCAAATCATCATCATCATTGTAATCGAAATGTTAATTAGTTAATCTATAAATATGCTGTGATTGGCAATAATACGTAAAAAAAACATTTCGATTTGATTGGATGTATGAAACATAAATGTGTGTTTGTGTGTTTAATGTGTGTGCGATATATTTATATATGCATGTGTATAATGTGTGTGTGTGTGTGTGACATACATACAATCACAAACATCAAAACGTAATGATGATGATGATGATAATGATGATGGTGGTGGAAAATATGATGGGAGAAACAAAATGTGACGCCTTATTGAGGATGGACTTGAGGAGTTTTTTTTTTGTCTTGTTTTGTTTCCAAAATAATGATTTTAATAATGGTTATTAATTGATTTAATGATAATTATCAAATCTGGAACAATTTTTTTTATTTGTTTTCATAAATGAATGTCACATTTTTGATTCACTTTCAAGGCAGGTAGAGGAGGTAACAATAATTTGTTAATTATGATGATGACGATGATGTTAACGGTGAAATTGAACAAAAAAAAACTCACGACATATAGAGATTAAATATTTACTTTGACCATAACGATGAAAACACAGAACAAACATACACACACACACACACGCACATTGGATCGGATTTCGTAAAAGTTTTTTTTCAAAAGTGTCGATTGAACGATCGGTGTGGTTCGATGGATCGATTGACTAGAGATGATTGATTGATTGATTGATAGAAAATAGCAAAAAAAACCAAAGTAAACGGAAATGAAATTGGATTCGTTTTAGAAAAAAAAACCTATACAAAAAAAAGTAAATGAAAAAACAAAATCAAAGAATCAGAATCAGAAATATTCTTATATTATAAAAAAAACGAAATTCTTTCTTTCCGAAAACAAAAAAACATTCGTTGCCATTTAACAACAGACAGACAGACAGACAAACAGACATGATGATGGTTCAGTGGTAAATGTCGTCTAACAATTTTTATTCTCTCTCTCTCTCTCTATCTCGCTCTCTTTGGTGAAAATGTCAAAACATCTTTATTATTATTATCATCATCATCATCATCAGATTCAAATTCTCAATTCTTCACATACCGTTATATTTTATTTTTATCAACATTTTTTTTCGTTTTGTTTCTTCTCAACTTTCTCCAGACAATTATCATCGGAAAGAAAAGAGAAAAGAAATTTTGGCATTGTTTCTTGAATTTTGTTTTGTTTTGTTTGATTCGATCATACTTGTGTATATATGGAGTGTGATGAAAGAATTTTCTCGATTTTTTTTATTTCTTTATTATCATCAGCATCAGCATCTTTGATTACTTTTTTATCGTTTCATTTTCGTAATGCAAAAAAAACGATTCTCTACGTGTTTGTGACTTGATATGGTGACATAAATGATAATTTTATCATTTTAATAAACATCATCCAAATAATCATCATTAAAATTAAAAGATTCAAAAAACGATTCTTGATGGATGATAATAATTAACCAGAAAAAAAATAAATTCTAGACGAAAAAATATGATTGAAAAGTGTGTGTGTGTCGGTGATCCAGATGGAGTAAAAAAAATTCAATCTGCAAGCTAATCGATCGATTAATTGATTGATTGATTGATTATCACAATCACCATTATACCGGGAGCAATCATTTACGTATTATTATTCTTTATTAACCCTTTTGATCACCATACAGACACAGAGAATGGATGATGAATGATTTTTGTTCCTGAATAGATTGATGTGGTAGAGAACCAGAAAATTGATGATGCCAATAATGATTAATTAATTATATATGACTATCTATATACCGGTTACTTGATTTGACACAAACGACACGCAGACACATACACACAGACAAACATTTTTCATTCCAGGAGAAAAAAACTGGCACTATTAACAAACCTTTTTTCTTAGACAAAAAAAGAATGATCAGACCTCAACAACAAAAGGTCAACAAGTGGTAGTTAGAAGTGAATTGAACAACACAAATTGATGATGTGTTTTGAGGAATATTTGAGAAAAAAAATTAAATTCTTCATTTTTTCCGATCATGGTCGAATTAATGAAAAGCAAAATTGAAAAATTCACAATTATCAATATGTTTATCGATGATGATGATGATAGCAGTGGCATATAACGATGGTGAAATGAAACGAAACGAAACGAAACGAAAAAAAATTCAATTCATAATACCAAGTGCAACAGGTAGATATTTGATGTTGTTGTTGTTGTAGCTAGTGCAACAAGCTTGATATTTGGTGTTGTTCAAAACGCGCCAAGCCAATTATATTTTACAACAAACGAAAAAAAAACGTAAAGATTGAAGAAAAATAGAAGTTTGTGACAGGAAGCCATCACATACAGGAATGGATGAATGAATGAAATGAAATGAAATGATGGTTAATAAAAATAAAAATAAAAATAGGCGGCATACAAAAAAAATTGAAGAATGAAAACATACACACACACATATGAAAAAAAAGAGAAAAAAAAAGAACAGACAACAACAATAATCAACTAAACTAGAATATAACAATCGAAAAAAAGAAGAAGGAGAAGGAGAAGGAAAAAAAGAGAAAAGATACCACCACCACCACTGACATCCAGTTGAAGTTCGAAGATCACCAACCATACAATCAAAATTGGAGAAAACACTGAAAATATTTTGTATTGGAAATAGATCCAATGTCAAAATATTCCTGAATGGGGATGATGATGAGGTTGGACTGTTTTTTTTCTTCTTATTGTTATGTAATATGTACGCGGAAGAAAAAAAAACGAACCTGAAAACAAAACAAAACAAAAAAATCAATCAACATTACCTTTATTGAATCATGATTTTTTTTGTTGGTTGTCCACTGTTTGGATCACATAATAAACACTTGTTAAAGTTGTTTTTATTTTTGAATTTGGATCAAAAAAATTTTTTTTTTTTTTTTGATGAATTGTTGTTTGAACATTTGAAAATTGAATATAAAATGTGTGACTGATGCCGTATACACACACACACACGCATCATTCTACATCAATCATCATTCGAACCGAATATGAATTCAAATACAACGAAGAAGAAGTAGAAGTGGTGGTGGTGGTGGTGTTGGTGGAAAAAAACAAAAGAAAAAATTATTTTTTGTTTTCATTCAGGCAATCCAGTCATTCATTGATATGTAGTGGTGGTGGTGGTGGTGTTTTCTATCTGTTGTTGCTGTTATTCAAGACATCAT